CCCCCCCCCTCGCCGCCGCTTCTTTCCCCCGCTCTTCTCCTCCTCTCCCAAGGCTCCGTCCCTCGCCGCTTCTCGCTGCCAACACCCTCACCGCTAATTCTGTCTCGGTATTCCATAACTTTTTAACTTTTAGTCTTGATTGTTGAGAGAATTTTGTTTCCCCGAGTTCAAACAATTTGTTTTTGAACGCTATTCTCAATTCTTAAGCGATGCCTCCTTCGCTGGTGGTGGCAGTTGATGCACCTATTTATAATCTAGTTTCATGCTTCGACGTGAGAGTGAGAGTGAGAGAACAAGGTCTCTTTATATCTGGCTCACTGCCTCTTACCCTTTCGTATTGCGGGGTGGATAGCAAAATCAAGACTAATTTGATTTTTTTAATCTTGTCAATTTGGCCTTATGTTCTCTTCTCACTGATTCACTATGTGTAAAGTCTCTATTTAGGAGATAACATATAAATGTAGTAACCACATTTTGACATGGCACTGGCACATGTTTTGACATTGTATGCAGCCAACAGGTGGACTATACACTGTTGGTGACTTCATGACAAAGAAAGATGAGTTAATTGTGGTGAAGCCTACAACATCTGTGGATGAAGGTATATTTTATACTTAGTTCATGTCTCATTTTGTAGCAGAAGTGATTTTTTTTTTTCCTGTTGTAAAAGGGGGCGGTTATATTTTAATTTCTAACATGTTATTTTGCAACAGCTCTGGAAATCCTTGTTGAAAACAGGATAACTGGTTTTCCTGTGATTGATGATAACTGGAAACTGGTGAGTTTTCTTGACCATTTTCCTTTTTAAACTTGAAGTGTTTATATGTTTATATCTCTATATAAATTAATAAAATCTCATGCTTCTATCTTCATTTTGTCCTCAAATGATCAAAATGCACTGTTTGAATGTTTGTCAAACATATCATGAAAGAAATATGGCTATGACTTATGAACACAAACTTGTCATATCTGTAAGTGTGCTTCATTGTGATCAAGTGATCACAGTTTCTAGTCACAGAAATTAACTCTCCGCACACAAGGGTTAGGTTGCATTCATCTGATGCCTCTTGCATTAGGCTGCGTTGACAATTACGATGTTCTTTTTCTCATTTCAAATCCATTGTCCTCTAAACTATCCCGTTATCGTCAAAACATTTACCTGATTACATGCCTTTAGATTTTTAACAAAGAAAATTCCTAAGACTAATTAATTCTGATTTGAGAATGAAAATATAATTTTAAAAATTTTTGGAAATGGGAAAATAGATAAAACTTCATTATAGGTGGTGTTCTAGCTGAAATTCAGTTGAGGCTGATTTAATCATCAAATAACAAATTTGAAGATTCTCTGAACATTTCCCCCCTTTTCTTATTATATTTATTTAAAACTAGAAACCAATTTGTCAAACATAGTTTAGTGGCAGTACATCCTTTCTAACAGTTGAATCTGATAACCTTAGAATGTATTGATAATTGCTTATGGTTTAGTTACTTCCATTCTTCATTTATGTAATCAAATTTGTGTGTGATTAACTTGACAAAACATTGCAGGAACAATTTTCATGTAAATTATTTCTCACAGTTCTTTTATACTCGGCAGGTTGGCGTTGTTTCAGATTACGACTTGTTAGCTCTGGACTCTATATCAGGTAAATTGATTAAAAAGAAAAGGAAATATCCATTTGTTGTAAACTTGATTTTTTCACCTCATTTAAAACTTAACACCAGTTACATTTCAAAAGATAACATCTGAATAATTTATCAGTATTGCAAATGTGTTTCTATTCCCAAGCTATGGCCTTGTAAGCTCAAATAAAGTGTGGTATGCTGATTTCAGGTCATGGGCGAAAAGATAACAACATGTTTCCGGAAGTTGACAGTAGTTGGAAAGTATGTTAGCACTTCTTTCTGTGATGGTTAATTCATCTTTACCATCATTTTCTATAATTCAAATATTTTCTAAACTTTATATTGTTAATGCTTAAGGTTACCTGTTGAGTTTACTGAGCAGATATTTTGGTAGTCAGACCTTAGAGAACTAGGTTAATCTGTATTGGAAAATCAAAATCCATTTATCACTACCCCACATAAAGTATAACTGGGTGTTCCTACCTGCCATCCCCATCTAAAATAAACTAAGGGCTAGTTTCTTACTGATTAAAAGAAAAGTTATTATTTTTTAGAGATATTAAACAAAGCAGAAGCTAATTTATGTTTGTTAACAATCATAAAAAATTAAAAATCACTTATTTTAAAAGAAAAAGATGATTTGATGATAAACTATTCAAAATAGCTTCTGATTTTAATTATATTTTAGATTTCTATTTCCAGCTTCTTATTATTTTGAAAAGCTGAAATAAACACATAAAACACGCATACAGATTTATTAAAAACCTACTTTGAGTATTTTTAATTAACGGGCCTGGCCAGACCAGACCTTATATAGATCATCAAACTATAACTTCCTGATGAGCCTCCTAGCCTATTTCCTTTTCATTTTTCTTTCACCAATTTTCAACAAATAAATTGAAAAGTTAAATCAACAGAATTTGTTAAATCAAAAGTATATGGAGGAGTGCTACTAAATGGGCCCATCATTGCTTTGTTTTCATTCTTGTGTTATAGATGCTTTGCACAGACAATATCTCACTCTGCTCCTTTTTTGGCTATTCCATTGCTTTGTTTTCATTCATCTAAAATGGAGGCTTCACGCAATATCTCGCTCACTTTATCTGCATCTTATTTGGTTATATAATTGCTCTGTTTTCATTCTAAATGATGACATAACTCACAATTTTGTTTTGTGAAACTCATGGTTGGGTTGTTTTGTCAATTCCTAATACAAGTTAGAACGTTTGCCACTGTATGTTATTTAAAGAATGTTTCAAGCAATTTTTCAATATGATTTGTAATTCACTGTTCAAAAATTAGCTTGGCAATTTATAATTTTGATAACCCTGGCTCTAAAATTTATGTCTCTCTTCATTAAGCACGACCTACTTGTTTAGATCTGGTACAAATTATCCCGAGACTACTGCTGCCTCTGTTGGCATGTATTACCTATTTATTTTGAAACAATCTCAATCCACTCCTCAAGAAATATTTTCCTGGTAATCTAAGAAGAGCGGGTGTTGATATCATGTGAAACATGCCATATAGACAAACATGGTGACAGACTGACACTGCAAAATTAAATTTGGCCGCGGTGTTTCGAATAATCATGTGTGTCATATGTCCAATTCGGATAAAGCATTTCCCTTTTAAGTATTCATGTTTTGTAGATGGTAATGATTGCATTGGAGATGGTTTGCGTTGCGTGATGCATTTCAATTCATAGTAGTAATTTCAACGACGGTCTAGTTTAATAAAGTTGTGTTTTGCTTGTATTATGGGTTCTTGCAGACTTTCAATGAGGTTCAAAAGCTGCTGAGTAAGACAAACGGAAAGTTGATCGGTGAATTGATGACCACTGTCCCTATGGTTGTTCGGGAGACCACCAATCTCGAGGATGCTGCGAGGTTCTTTCATTTTATTCCTTGTTCACCCTTGAAAACACCCCCTTTTTGCTTTGCCTTTTTGGAATTTGTTTCATATTAATATACTTTAAGCCGCCTATAAAAAAAGATGACCATTTTTAAATGTCAATCTTTAGGTTGTTGCTAGAAACCAAATTTCGACGCCTTCCGGTTGTAGATGCTGAGGGTAGACTGGTACAGACTCCTTCAATCTGTTTAATGCGTTTATTTATTTATTTATTTTAATTTTGTTAGTGTTTCTAAATGGTGATTAATAATATCTGAAGGTGGGGATTATCACAAGAGGAAATGTTGTAAGAGCCGCACTTCAAATTAAACGGGGGAACCAAAAGAAAGCATGATAGGATTTAGATCATTCAAAAATTTGCTGCTGGATTTTATGCAGTAGTTCGATTGAAGTGTTCACAGAAGCTTGCTTAAATTAGAATTAAGATTTTGGCTTAGGCATGTATATCTTGTCGTTTTTCTATTTACACGAATGTTTGTCGTTGGCAATATTTTGAAAAGGGCAATTATTATTCTTAGTATTCTCATTGTAATTTTTATGGACCACCTTGGTGATAAAGATGTTGGAAATGTAGTGACTTCGCTGCATTAATCATATGTCAAAGACTATTGGTAATTCAGGCACAAATTTCAACCGGCATTAATCTACCTCCATACTACTAACTACACCGTTTTAAATCGGTTAGTGGTTGAGCTGAATCGGTGATTGGTCTTGGTCCGTCACTGTAATAAAACTCATGACTAGCTGTTGAGCGAACTGTTGACAGTAACAGATTGGGACCTCTCTTGTTTCCTCATTTTGTAAGATGAGAAAATTAAGGACGACTTCGTTGGCTAATGTTGATGTTATGGTCAATTTGGCCTCATTATTTTACCCCTCTACTCCTCCACGTTATTTGGTGCGCTCACAGTTTAGAAAACAAACAAACAAACTCCTAAAAAACCGAGCTCGAGGATATTGTCTTCTTCGCTCATCCAATTCTATATTTGTCTTTTACCCTATCCTTGCCTTTTATGTAATTTTTCATCTCATTTGGCCGATTCAATCCCTGGTGAAGCCTAAATCTTTTAATACGGGAGATTAACTTTTTAATAAATTAATTAATTGCTCACTTACGTCAAGCACGATGTAATCCACAGGACCACAGCTACAAAATCCTTAAATAAAGGTATAAAAAAAAACCCTCTAATTCTCCGCTAATCATGGACTCATCCTTGGCTACAACTTAAAAGGCCCTCATAGATCCTAGCGAACCAAATATGGGGTACAGCTCAGACTCAAATCAGAAATCCTCCGCAAAGATATTTTGTTAATCAATAGAGGAGCTGTAATTTTGCTTTCACATGGAGACATCTCTTTCTCGTATTTCTTTTCTTTGTCCCAGGTTTATTTATATATTTTTTCGATACAATTGTTGTCTGATATTGGACTAGAATTAGAAGAAGAAAAAAATGAAAAATCCAAGACGACAAAACCGATTAACCGACCCCATCATCCATCGTTGTCAAAACAGAGCAGTGACCACAACGTTTTCCCTTCACACTGGCCCATTCCATCTCCCCCTACACAACTTAATAATCAGGAAATAGTGTGGAACCAGAAAAATACCTAACTCTCAATCTTATCACTTTTTAGTTTATGATTACGTTAGTGGTTAGCATGGCTCTCTCTTTCCTTTTGCACCCAACTGCTGGGCTCCGTAGGCCATTCCTGTCCCCTCCCCCCACCCATTTCACTTCACTGCTTCATTCCATTCTTATTTCCTAACCTCAAAACCATCCCATTTTCCCCCCACCCCCAACTCCCTTTCTATTAACCAAAATACATTTTTTTAACCAGACATCATAACCGCAGCAGCCCAGAAAGAGATTCAACTACGAAATTTAAAGATAGTCAAATAAAACCACTCAAGAGACAGATAACTAATAAGAAAAAGCGGCTATTCAACTAATTAATTTACATTTAACATTTATACAACGCCAAAATTTCCTTTGTAAAATCTAATTATAAAAAAAAAAAGACTATCAAAGGGAAAGTAGAAGGAAAAGATAGAGTACAGTAATCCACACCACCACCAAAGGCCTCATCAACAAGTTGAACTTCACTTTGCCTCAGCCGGCGCACGTTAGCCACCAACCACCGCTTCTCCTTCAATTGACCTCCCACTCACAGTCGGAACTCTCGGGTTCGGGCATCTTATTGAGGTCAACCCGCTCGGCGAAGTCCCCGGAACCGCCGCCTCCGCCGCCGGAGAGAAGCTCCGGCGGAGGCGGAACATGAGGGTGGTGGAGGGTGGCCTGGAGAGCGTCGACCCTGGCACCAACCTCGGTGGCCTTCTTCCTAATCGAAGCGGCAGACATGTCGCAGCCGGCGAGGAGGGCGGCGGCGCCTTCCCCGACGAGAAGGTCGGGGAAGTTGAGGCGCGCGGAGGGTCCCCGGAGGTAGAAGACGGCGGTGTCGTAGGCTCGTGCGGCGGCGACGGGGGTGGAATAGGAACCGAGCCAAATCCTTGAACGCTTGTTGGGTTCCCTTATTTCAGCGACCCACTTGCCCCACTTCCTCATCCTTATTCCTTTGTATCTTCTTAGTGTCTCTGCCTGTGCCTGCCCGCTCCCTCGCTTCTTCCTCTCTCTCTCTCCTTCCATCTCTCTCCTTTTGTCAAATCAGTGAGAGAGAGAGTGAAAGTGCATCACTTCCTCAACTACGCTTATAACCCCTCACTCCCCACGTTACTTCTTACTATGCTTTTAGCTTTTTCTTATTATTCACTCTTTTTTCTTCTCCTTTTTATTTTTAATTATTAATTCACCGACAAAACTATATCACTCTTTCTTTCCACATTACATTTAAATCAATATATTAATTCTTTCCTCTTCTCATCAACATTTCTACTCACCTTACATTACTCACATATACCTACATAACAAGGATTCTTAAAATATTCATTCAAAAATATCAAAGTTTATTCATATTTATTATTAAAAACAAAATAAAGTATTTCACATTTTTAACTATTAAAAATAGTTAATACCGTCGCATAGGTAAATTTACGGTCCAATCAAATTTGACAATCGTATAATTATATTTTATTTTATTTTATTTTTAAAATAAAAAAAACTGTGTGACTGGGGGAAGGCATGATTTTATTCGACCATAACTAGCTGTGTGTTAGCGGCACAATAATAGCCTGTCTTTGGATAAGCGGTGGTGGACTTCAAACCCATGTTTAAAGCAATCAAACATAATAATAATTGGTTCTTATATCAAGGACATCTTTCTAAAACTTTACAACAAAAACTTATGTAAATTTATCAAATTAACTTTTTTTTTTTTTATCAATAAATATTATTACAACATAAATACACACATGTTGACTTTTCGGATGTAAATTTTACCATACATTTTATTTATTAGTAAAATTTAATGATTGTGCAAGGAATTCTGCATTATCAATGGGTATATTATTTATTTTAAGAAAACCAGACAATCATTTTTAAGTAAAAAAAATAAATACACACATGAACTGATAATATAGAAGTATTTTATAATAAACCGTCATATATAATATTTATTTTATAATAATATTTTAAAAATCATACTAAAATATTTTTTTATTCTTGCCCGATCGGTAATGGTTCGGTTGGTTGGTGTCCTTTGCAAGTTAATAAAATGACACAAATTTAAAGGCTTTTTGTTTTAAAACAATAATCGAATATTAATTATTTTTTAGTATTATAATTTATAGAAGTACGCCTTATCTTTATAATTTTTTTTCCTTGAATCTACTGTGAACAATTTCAAATAATTAAAGTATCTATTAATGTACTCGATTTTATGGATGATTGAAAGAGTATTCACTATTTAATGAGAAGAAAAGAAAATAATAATTTATTTGGTATAAATAATATTTTGTTTCATTTTCATTATTATCTTAAACATTTTTTTTTATAATAATTGTGAGTGGGCAGAGGGGTAGGTCGGTGGTCGGTGGATAGATACCGTTAGCGATTGACTTTTCGTCCACGCAATAACGATAGGATCGGATTTTCCATTTTGTCCTTCTCAAACTTTTGTTGTCATCCGCACAGATAGGGGTATTTTCGGGATACTTTTATTTCAATGGCCCACGATGTTAACTTGGTGCTCTGCTAATTATATTAATGGACGGCTTAATTGCCTATTAATAATTTGTTTCTTTACACTTTAATTATTAACAAAATCTTATTATTGTTTCCAGTAAAATATATTCCAATATTATTTCATTAAATTAACAAATTATTTGTCAACGTCTCCCCTCAATCAGATTTGCAACGGCGACTTTTTTTATTTCATCAAAGTTGGAATTAAACTACTAACGTATTAATTTATATATTTCTGCCGGTTGAAAATATTTTTAAATTAATAAAATCTTTATATTTGTTTTTTTTTAAAATCTTTATAATTGTTAATAAGTTAAATATTGACAAATACTAATATGATTTTTTTATGCTAATAATGTATACTAAACAAATTTAACATTAAAAGTTTAACATTATAAATTAATATAAAAATTATTATTTGTAACACCATAAAATAATTTAATTATTGTCTTTTAGCAATAATTATATGTTGTGATATTTTAAGATATGGTCTTGAGAAATTTGAGAATTAAGAAACTCTTGATGAGTTTTTATAGGTATTTTAGAGGATTTCTCTAAATAAAAGTCTAATTTGACCCTAAATGGGAGGATATAAAATTTCTTTTAAAAATTGAGTTTTACAAGTTTAGTTCTTAAGAGAACTCAAAAAAATAAATTAGAGAAAAGCACTCTGAAATCCTTAAGTTTCACCTTTTCTCTTTTCTAGGCTTCCCAAATGTATAAGAGATCATTGTGGATCAAAGAGTGATAATTTAAAGTTGTTTGAGTTAAGAATCAAGTCATGGTGGTGAGGAGCTTCCCAAAAGTCGAAGCTCATAACCGTTTCTTCCTTTTCTTCATCTCTTTTGCTTGGGAAGGGTTTTTTTTGGATCATATGAACAATGTTGATGATTTGGTCAAATTGGTGTTTGCATGTTGGTTGAAAAGGGAGATTTGAGTTATTGAAAGTGCTTATATGGTTTTCCAGTATTTCAAGAGGGAAGAGAGCAAATTTGTGACCTACTAGGTGCAAAACTCATAGTGTCAGGCGTGCCTCCATGGCACTATGCGTGATTTCAACTAGGGATACTCTGTCTTGCTTAATGGAACTCAACATGAATGGTGTCAGACGCGAGTTGGAAGGCGTCGGGTATGAGTTGTCATGTACCAACTTGTTTCATGAATAATTGGTGAATATGTATAGGTTAAATGAATCTATTGCATGTTGTATGTTGTTGGGTGTTGTTGGTGTCTATGCATATTGTAGGATAATATATGTAGATGGTATATGGTTGAACTATTGAAGTGCATTTGTGTTGTAAATTGATTAATGTTATTAGATCTATATTCATTGACCTAGAGTAATGCATGTAGATGGTTGAACTATTTAGGTGATGTGAATATGTTAGTCCTAGGTAGTTGTAATTTGTTTTCCACTACCCTAATTGATTTTGTAAAGTATAATGATTATGGCGGATCGTTACACTCATTTATATAATTTTAAAAAAATTATTATAAAAATTAATAAATTTATAATATATAATAATATTTAATCAAATAATAATATAAAATACTTTTAAATTATACATAAATTATCTATCAAAATTGATAAAAACGTGAATTAATTGATAAATAATTACTTAAACTTAATTATTAGTCTTAAATTTGAGTATGATGTAATTATATTAAGCATTTAAAGGTGATCCTTTATGACTATAATGATCTTATCTGAATTAAATAAATACATACTATTGTTTATTAAAAAATAATTTATTCAAATAACAAAATAGTTTACTTGTTAGAAGTTAGAACACAACTCGACTGAAACAATAATTCAGCACGGAAAGCGGACAAGAATAGGAAGTGCTTTACAATTGTTTAATTATAATATTCCTTCAAACCGTTTTTTCTTTTTTTCCTGATCTGTATCTTAGAGTATCAATGATTCATAAATTAAATAAATTTATTCTAACATGTTTATGTTATACGTCTCTCTCTAATAATTATAAAAACCATAATGTAATAACAAGCAATAGCGTAAGTTGTTTCATTGTCATACTTGTCTTGTTAATATCATGAATTCCTTCAAAATGGAAACTTAAAATATTGTAGATAAGAGCGGCAACAATAATATAAAAAGGGGATAACTTTCCTTTAACTTTTTGTTTTCCTAAAAGAAGAATCAGAGGGCTGGGTTCGAATGTGAAGGCAAACATGTAACTTGGGATGTTGCTTATAACGCTTTTAAGCAATGTTTATCTATGCATCACCACATTTTTAAGAGTTTGGAAACTTAGTATAAATAATATTTCTTCTTATTTTTTTTCTTTTTTTGGTGATGGAGTTCAAATAAGAAGATATACTCTTTCAAAATTGCCAGAGTAGAAGACTGAAGAGAGTTTTGGTAGAAAATAATTATGAAGGCCCCATAAACTATAATTCTCATTGGAATAAAAAGACATTTTTAGATATAGATCTAAATTTTCTTACCGATGATCGAATTTGGTTTGAACAAGTTTTTTGAAGAAGAAAACGACAGAAAAAACACATAGAAGAACTTGTTAAAAAGCAATATATTTATTATTATTCTTAATATTTGTGTAAAAATTTGAGAAAACAAAGACTTCCATAACTATTGAGCAAAGGATCCACTCGAGCCTGTTTGGTTGCATAACATGTCAACGACTAAAGGAGTAAAGTGGGTATTACAGGTAATTTTAGCAGTGCATGGCAATACAAATTTGTTTTAAAATGTGTTCAAATTGACAAATTATTTTACAAATTTACAATTTGAGCAAATTCACAGTAACTTTTTTTATTTTTATTTTATTTTATTTTTATTTTTAATTTCACTCTAATTTAATGTTTCATTCTTATTGTTAAAACTAAAGCGGACCATATTATTTTCGTTGTGTTAAATTGTGGACATATAAACATTAATAATATGTGCCGAATTGTGTACGAGTGTATTGAATAAAATAAAAGAGTTTAGCAAACTAACTTGTAAATTATAAGTTTTTCAGCTAGCTAATAACTTGTAGTTAATATTTTTTTTAATTACCATATCTATCTGTAATATTTTGATACAAATCCACTTTTAGTCATTTCCTTCAAATTTGAATTATTATATTCTTTATTTTAATTTACGAAACACTTATCTTTAAAAAATAGTTAGGACGAAATTATATTTTTAGTTTTTTTTTAATCTTATTTTAAAGTTTTATTTTGATCATATGTCTTTTAAAACATTTTTTTAAATGTTTTATTTCTTAAATTTTGATCCATTTGATTATTTTAAAATAATGATTATTTTAAATTTTGAGACACGATTTTAAATTTTTTTTATTAATTCAAGACTTAAATTTTATCTTATTAAATTTACTTATGTGAAAATTATAGAACATAATTAAAATTCAAATAATTTTTTTTGTAAATACGATGAAAATTGCATAAATATAAATTCAAAAAAAAAATAATTAAAAATTTTAAAAAAATAATTTTATATTAGTTTTTAACTGTTTGTGAGATACATTTTTCACATGGTATTTACTATGATTATAGTTTATTTAAATTCAAACATCAATTAAATTTTATAATTTGTATATAGATGAATATAAT